CCAGCATTAAAATGCTGATACTCGCTTTCAAAATAACTTGTATTCTCAGGTCATCAATAGACAGGTACACGCCGGGAGCTTTTGCGAAGTCAGCCTAGTACCAAGTTGCAGCTTATGTTATTTCTTATATCTACTTTGATGTTGTTGTTAAATGTAACCTATGTAAAATTATTACTATTAATGCAATGGTTGTTGTACTTTGATTACTATACTGCATATGTTGTGATACTTGACATGACGTCCTCCACCCCAGAACATTTCCGCCGTTCCGGTTTTGGGGTGTGATACATTTTCAATTAATGAAAAACGTTCTTTGATGTGTTTTGATTTAGTTTATTGTGACTTATGGGGTCAAAGTTGTTCCTTCCAAACAAGGATATTTATATTGCTGTATCTTCGTTGATGATTTTTCACACTTCACGTGGTTTTATCCTTGCGGATGAATTTTGAGTTCTTAAATTTATTAAAATCTTTTATAGCATTTGTTCAAACTAAATTTTCTTATAAAATAAAAGCTTTTAAGAGTGATGGTGGAACCGAGTTCACAAACATCCATGTTTGTGCCTTTCTTATGATAAATGGCACACACCATTGTTTATCATGCTCTCATACTTCATAACAAAACGGTCGAACCGAACGGGCACATTGTCATATTACCTAAACCAGCCTAGCAATGCTCTTTAATGCTACTGTCCTTACTTCCTTTTGGGTTTATGCTTTGAGCTCTGCTACTTATATTATGAACAGTCCTCCATTAAAGATTCTTGCTCAAACGACCCTATTCGAAATGTTGTTTCATTCACCACTAAACTATGATATTTTTTGGGGCGTTTGAATATCGGGTTTTTCCATACTTACGAAATTGTTTAGCTAACAAATTAGCCCATCACAACACCTCATGTATTTTTATCGTATATAGTCCTCATTACGAGGGCTATAGTTGTTTAGATCCTACCATCACTCGCCTTGACAAGTCAGCCAATTTTTACATGCTACTGATCACTTTCAAGCGGTTAAAAGAATTTTACGATATGTCAACGAAACTTTATCCTATGGTCTTCATTTAATTTTTCCTATGGTCTTCATTTTATTTACATCGACTATCATTTTGTTCTAGCCAATTACACACCTAATTTGTTCCAACTTCGTAACAGTTGACTGACATATTTACCAAGGTCTTCAACGCCCACTATTCGAGCAGTTCCTTGCCAAGCTGCGTGTTTGTTTGCCACACGCTTCAGGGGGAGTATTAGCGATAAGCCTTGATAAATAAATTATGTGTATGTATTCCCATAAATCAGTTGTTGTTGTTATCTTGTATTGTATATAATTGTAAATACATCTTGTGGATTAAGGTGAATTGAATAAAACCTTATAACTACGATGGGGAATCCATGATGGAACATGTCTATGATACCTATGGTAAAAATGAACTTCTCAAAGTAAAAGGTGGTGTGGAAATCAATATTGTTGGTGATTTTAGTGTCACAATGTCATTTTATGTAACTGGAATTAACATGTGAGCTAAGGGGCTTCATAATTTGTATTCTAATATATGTACGAGTTTGTGCGGAGTGCACGCATGTATAAGATCAAATTAGAAGCCGGTTCGACGACAAGTCGGGGGTCCGGGGGCAGCGCCCCTAGCGGGGTCCAAGGGGCAGAGCCCCAGGCTGGGGTCCTGCAACCAGAGTTGTCTTACAACCACCAAAATCCGGATTCTTGAGGGTGATTATAGTAAAACTAACGAAACTCGTTACTTTTGGTAACCCTAAATCCTCATTAAAATCCGGATTACCCTGACTTGCTTCCAAAGCAACTCATGAACGGCCCAACCCTAATGAAACCCTAATCTCGTTTATTATATAAACGGTTCTTCCTTCTCAGAAGAAATACACGAAATTTAGCTCTCGGATTTCTTCAAACTTTCACAAAATCTTTCTAGCAATTTGGCTTACGATTTCTTTGCCTAATATCGTAAGTGTCCGCTTGGATTATCCTAGGCTGAATTTCGGAAAGTGTTCTCACGATCCAAGTTGGTATCGAGATCTCCACCACAAACCCTAGTTTTTCTAACAAATATTAGTACCATATAGGACCTGTTCCGATCACATATCCATGATAATATTCTAGTTTTAACATTGTTGTTAAGCATATGATAGTTTTGGTTGTTTATGATTGTTGATCTACCAGCATCAACCCGTATTTGAACATAGTAGGAGGGTCCATGATCAGCGGGAAAAAATAATTGCCCACAAAATTAACCGATATTTGTTTTTGAACCATCTAACTTCGTTGACATTAAGTTTGTAGTTTTATTGGACGACCAAAAAAACGAGTGTGAAATAATGAAATAAAAAATTATAACCTTTTCGGTGTTTTTCGTCCCAAATATGACTTGATCAAACTTAAGTTCTCGTGAGAGAAAATTTGGTTCTTTTGTTTCCTTAAAATGATAATATCAACAAGACTAAAAACATCTGTCCAACCAACACCAACACCAAACTCCATATAAACCAAACACCACAATCTTCTTTACTCTTTAAAATCTGTCCTTCCACTTAAAGCAACATTATACCCAATTTCAATCATTATAAAGTCTAACAAACAAAGCACTAAAGTAGTAAAAAAGAAGTGCATGAATTCAAAAAGAAAATAACACCGTTCTCTTTTTTATAAATTTATACCTTTAATTTTACACACAATTTAAAATATAAAATATACCAATTCAGCAACAAAAAGGCATAATTTTTCATAAAAATGATAATAACAAGTATTCAAGTCGGTTGTGAATTTTTTATATTTAATTAAAATCATAACCATCACCTTTGGTTATATTATCTTAAATAAATAATCATGTCTGTTTTTGAGTAATTTTCAAACTTCCATAATTAAATATTTAAATTAGAAATATTTTTATATGATTAACAATTAATTTATAAGGAAAAGTTGAGCGAAGAAATGGTGCATTTAACTACAACGACCCCTCCATTTTTATTCAAAATTTAAACCCTTCTCCCACTCGCCATTTCCTTTTCATCTTCTTCAATCTTCCCCCTTACAAACACACCACCGATCTCAATCACAAATCCATGGCCGCCGCGAGATTCATCAAGTGCGTCACCGTCGGCGACGGCGCCGTCGGAAAGACGTGCATGCTCATCTCCTACACCAGCAATACCTTCCCCACCGTACGCATTTCATTTCATCATCTCTTATAATCGAAGAATCCCTACAAGCTTTTAATTATCTGAGTTCGATTTCTGTTTTCTCTGTAGGATTATGTTCCTACTGTGTTTGATAACTTCAGCGCTAATGTGGTCGTTGGTGAAAGCACTGTTAATCTCGGCCTTTGGGATACTGCAGGTAATTACTGTCTATTACCTCTTTTCCGATCCAATTAGGTTACGTGATTACTGCAAAACGCTTGAACGAAATTGATGCATTTTGAGTTGCTGATAGTCATAATTGATGGATTAATCAGAAATTTGTGATAAATTAACATCACGAAAGGTGTAAATTGATGATAAATCAGGCCAGGAGGATTATAATAGACTCAGACCACTGAGTTACAGAGGAGCAGATGTCTTTCTATTGGCTTTCTCTCTTATCAGCAGACCCAGCTATGAAAACATCTCCAAGAAGGTTGCTCTTCATTCTGTTCAATTTGTTCAATTTCTTTTTCACTTCAGTCATTGTGTCCCTAATTTATGGTATTTATATAAAACACCCACATAAATTTTCTTTGGTAATAGAATTGTGACACTGACTTAGAATTAGAAATTAGAATTCCACATTTTTCCTAAATAAATGTTACATATTTGTTATTTGCAGTGGATCTCAGAGTTGAGACACTATGCTCCAACTGTGCCCATTGTGCTAGTGGGGACTAAACTAGGTAACATTCTATTATTCCAATTTGTTTTTTTGTCATAAAACATTTTTAATTTATAACAAGTTTCAATATATGTATTTATTAATTATTTTTTATTTACAATATGGCATCATGTGATTTGGTTGCGAGCAATTTACTCATCATCATTTTTTTTATGCTTTTGGAATTCTTTAGATCTACGCGAAGACAAACAATACTTGAGTGATCATCCAAATGCCACTCCCATTACAACTTCCCAGGTAAGTCCTTCACCTTTTCAAGAATTACACTTTACACCCCTATGGTTTTCATGATCCATTATAAAATCTAGAAAAGTTCAAATATTAAGGATGTGAAGTAAAACTAATTTGGATAGGGGGAAGAACTCAAGAAAACTATTGGTGCAGCTGTATACATCGAGTGTAGCTCCAAGACTCAACAGGTTTGAAATCATTATTTTATAAAAATTGTAAGGTGAAAGTTATTTTAATCATTTTTGATTTTTGGTTTTATTGATTCATTTGTTTATTATCAGAATGTCAAAGCTGTGTTTGATGCTGCAATTAGAGTTGTGTTACAACCACCAAAACTGAAGAAAAGGCGTAGCAAGCAAAGACTGTGTGTCTTTCTTTAGATATGATTCATGTCAATTTTACGTGTATAATGTTTTCTGTATAACGTCCATTTGTTTTTGTTTTGTATTTTGTTCTTTTGTTTAGCACTTTAATGGTTTAATGAAATCCAAAGATATGAAATTGGGTTACATGATGAGATACGATTCTTGTGTATATAAATGTTTGTTCGATCAAATCATGGCTTTAGAGACTGGATGATCATTGTATGACTGTGTTTGATGATGATGATGATAAGAGTTGTATTCACACCTTTTGCACGGACAAAACAACATTCATAATGAGTATGTCATCTTGTTCCACATTTTTGGACGAGACTTTTTTTTAAACTGTTCTCGTTTTCATGCACACATGTTTGAGTCATGTGCACATTAAATGGGGAAAATGACTCTTGAGGGTAATTAACTTTTGCGTTTGTATTCATTTCGTCCCTTTTTTTTTGTATTCAATATACCATCAAACTTGTTGTTTGTGTTCATCATAACCCTTTTGACCGGCTTTTGACCTGTGATGGCCGGTCAAAGGGTTATGGTGAACACAAACAACAAGTTTGATGGTATATTGAATACAAAAAAAGGAAAGGGACCAAATGAGAACAAACTCAACAGTTTGTTACCCTCCTGAGTCATTTTTCCCGAAAAGTTAAATGAAATTAAAGTTGCAAAATTATCAAAGACTGTAACATTCTTTGGCTATAACATATGTGAAGAGCGTTTCAGAGGGGTAACTTTGTTAAAACATGGTCTAAGCTATGCTTACCGTGGTTAGTTGTCAACACCTCTTTGCAAAAGGATATGACTGTGTATGAGAGGTATATTTATCAGCATAAACGTTTACCTCAATGTATACTATGGTGATGTGTCTACAAAAGCAGCATGATATTGTACATATTGATGTTGTATCTTATCCCATGAATTCGATCTTAAAGCTAAGTAAACTCAAAAATCACAGCACTTGTGATTCCACTCGTTTGTAGACTTGTCTACAATCCATGATACGATAAATCATTTGATTGGAAATGTAAATGTAGTCATGAAATGCGCCTGCTTAGTCAAGATTCCCCTAATAAATGTTCAAGTGCATTACAAAGTTGTACATGTATGAATAATGTTCTTTCGTGGGTTATGTTTTGAAGAGAAGCAATAATGAATCTCATAAAGTCATTAATATCAGTAGGAGATGACGTGAGATTTGCTGTAAATGAGTAAAGGGAAATGAATCAGGAGGGTAACCAACTGTTGCATTTGTTCTCATTTGGTCCCTTTCCTTTTTTTTGTACTCAATATACCATCGAACTTGTTGTTTGTGTTCACCATAACCCTTTGACCGGCTATCACATGTCAAAAGAGTTATGGTGAACACAAACAACAAGTTCGATGGTATATTGAATACAAAAAAAGGAAAAGGACCAAATGAGTACAAACGCAAAAGTTAATTACCCTCAAGAGTCATTTTCCCCATTAAATGCATTACAACTTGTTTTGTCATGTTTTATCTTATCTTGTGTAACAAGTGTATCCTTAATAATATCTCAATTTTTAAAAACTTTGTTAACTATTTAACATGTATGTATATTGCCCAATATTAGAGATGTGTAAGAGTGTTAGCCTTGGCCTTTTAGTCTCCGTCTTCCTTGCGCAGAATCTAAGCATGTGTCACACCCAAAAACCGGAACGGCAGAAACGTTCTGGGGTGGAGGACGTCATGTTTAGTATCACAAGACATGCATCATAGTAATCAAAGTAATGAATAACCATTTTATTAGAAAGAAAGTGTTTACAAAGTGTGTGTTCACAAAACATAGAATAAATAAGCAAATAACAAACAAGACTTGAAGCTATACTGCTCCATCTTCTGAATCCCAGCACGAGTACCTGTCTACTAGGCTCCTGAGAATACAAGTTATTTAAAAGAGTTGATCAGCAATTAAGCTGGTGAGTTCATAAGATTTTAGTGATGTAGTAAGTTGTAGAAAGTTGTTGTAAAATGTTGTTGAAAAATGAAGTAAGTTGTAAGTTCTGTTTAGAAAAGTTCGCCTGTTCCTCTAGGAAAATCCTATATTTCCTACTTTGATGAAAGATACGTAAAAATGATTCTACAATCCTTTCTATGAGTACTAAATGGATACAAGTGATATAAAACTCAGAGTAAACAAACAATCGACTGTGCGCATCTGCCCTAAGCTCACAACCAAACAAGGAACAAGAAGTAAGGCGGATAGCACGCATCCCATTGTTTGTTAGATCATTGTTGTATATAACTCTGGCGTATTCACTTGTTACTCATGGAGTTAA